AAGATGAAGAAGGCCCGGGCATGGCTAGATGAGTGCGGACAAGATCATGGGAATAATGGAAGTTCGAGCTAGCAGCAGCTAGCACACCTGGACAGGCGCAGGGTATCACGTGGACGTAGCATGGCCCATGGAGTATACAACGTGTCGAACTCGCGTGAAGGTACATGCAACGACTACGCATGACATCACGTCATGTTCATACTCTACTGCCGCACTACAAATTCGTATGTGTAATCACCTGAGACCAGGTTCTTTTCATCGATTGTTGCGACTCAACTCTACGTCTTTTTTACGACATCGAAGGAAGAAGCCAGTCTGGCGCTAGTGAGCCACATTCACTTCGTTTCTGAGGTCCACACTTAGCTTGTTTGTTTAATCACGGGTTCTAGCGCACTCCGCGAACTGCAAGTGACGCCGACTTCTCTACAATAGCCAAATTCTCTCGGTTCGCGTTTGCGATACAACCTAACGTGCCCTGGTTTCAACCACCCCTTCCATAACCACCTCAAGAACCTCTTTGAATACTCGCAGCTGTTCGTTCAGCGCGTCTAGTTCTCCACGCTAACACATCTCAGTACATTACCTCACATAACCGAGGGACTTTCGGTCAGCCGAAAAGATGAGCGCCAATCAGGACTACGTGACGCCAAACGACCATCTCCAGCAGTCTCTCCAGAACACCTCCGCATTTGAAGTCCTGGGCCACTTCTGCGGTATACCCGCTGTCGGCTCCCCCCAACGACTCAATGAGGCCGCCGTCGTCTGCATCGACGCAGAGTGGTGGCAGAAAGAGCCCAAACCCACCACCGAGCTCGGAATCGCTGAGCTCATGCAGAAGGGACTGACCCCAACTATCCACGCCGAGAATATCCTGTCTAGCATCCAAGTCGCGCACGCCCGTATCATCCAGAACGCGCACCTCATCAATAGATTCCCCGGTGCTGGAGACCCCGAGAACTTCCTCTTCGGCAAGACCAAGTTCGTCACTATGGACGAGGTGAAACAAGTACTCATCAATACGTTTGTGCGACCGCGCGAGTATGGAGACGGGTCTGACCTGCAGCCCATTATCTTGGTCGGTCACGCGGTAGAGAACGAATTCGAACACATGCAGCGCGCGTTCGGCGTCGATCTGCTGAGCTACGGTACTATCGTCAAGGTCATCGACACGCAGCTCATGGCGCAAGAGCTGGGTATCAAGGCGCCACGTGGACCGTTCATCGGACTCAAAGACCTCCTCGCGCACTTCAACATGGTTGTACCCAACCTCCACACCGCTGGAAACGACGCAGCAGCCACGCTCATGGCCGCCGTCTTACTCACTTTAAAGCCGTGGATGTATCCAGACGTTCCCGGATCGCCACCCGCCGTCGTGCAGGGCCGCAGTATGTCAGAAGTGGTGGCTGGAGTCATGGAGATGGGACAGTCGCTGTCGCCGCCTCCGTGGGGAGAGCTCATGTATTGCGTCCGATGCGATCACAAGAGTCATCTCGCCAAATCCTGTTACACTGCTCTGACCTGTCAGATTTGCAGCAACTCGGGCGTGAAGAGACTGTTTGGTGCGCGAAATACACATAAGACTACCAGGTGTATGTATCAGTACTTGCCGATACCGCCGAGGGACTATGGATTTGGTGGACAGTAGAACGAGGAGGTCTATGGGGACAGAGGCGAGAGATGAGACCAAGGAAACGTTTGAAAGGACTACCGGTAGAACACCCAGGTAGCTACGCAGCTACGAATGATATCACCACACTGGCGTACAAGCCAGACCCCACTTCATACATAGAAAAGATGAACACCCTGGAGCCTACATTAACCTTGGGCCATCTACTTTACATGCTTTGATCTTGATGGTGGCTTCTCACCGACCTCAGTCTGTTCTAACTTCGGCCTTCATCACCGCTACATGGATTGACGACTCATAGTGACACTGACGCGATTCTTATAGCTGCCCTCACACCACCCCGCCCGATCTGCTCAACGAGGCCCAAACGCACACGACCCCTCCATATGCGTCCCAGCATTCTTCCTCCTCCACTCCTGAACTGCACATTCACATCTCCTACACTTCAGATCCGCATTGTGACACTCCAAAAACCCATGCTCACCACTCCCGCACCTCCAGCAAAAGACTTCCACACCAACAGGCGGCGCCGGCGTGGGCCAGTTCATCAAGCTCTGCACCACAAACGCCGCAGACTTGGAACTTGACTGGCCCACCCGCCCCGGCTTTGCCTTCGCATTCTGTAGAGACCCATAGAGCTCGAAGCGGAGGGTTGAGAGGATAGCGACGATGGTGGCGTACATGGCTGCGTTACCGCTGTTATCGGAGTGGTATACCGGGACGCTGAACTGTCTGAGGAGGTATGCGAAGTCCGCGTCTGCATGGCGAGTAATCTTAGACTGCTGGGGTATGACTTGCGCATCGAGGCCTGCTACCGTGGTATCCAGAAGAGACGGATCGAAGTCGAACGCCGTCTTGCGTACCTTGTTGATGCTATCGTTGGAGCCAACGCACATGTATATGATGGGTCGATAGCCAGAGTCCTCGTTCTGCTCATCCATGGGCTGGTGCCAGATCTGCTGGAGTAGGAAAAGAGCTTCTTCTTGGGACACGTAGACTGTCGTGCCGAAATGGAAAGGATCGAGACCGGTGGCTGTAGAGTCGAGGTGCGCAGTGGAGCGGATGACAAGGTGTAGACACCATACTTGGCGTAGCAGGTCTTCTGCGTGCGGGCCAGCCATGACAGGCTGCCCTTGATTGATGCTAGATCGGTCGTAGGTGGTAATTCCTAGCTCGGTGAGGCGATACGGTGGGTGAGCTGACCATTTGCGGTGGAGGACGACGAGGACAGCGTCGCCAAGTAGGTTTGGAGCAGTTGTCGACCTTCCGAGGTATTTGTGCAGGACGTCTTTATCTGGAAGCTGGGCCAAGACGCCGCGGAGTGTTGCTAGCTTTGTTGAAGTGGATTTTGACATGACTTTTGAGCTGCGCGATGTCCATGGGTAGCAGCAAATGAGGGTTGGGAGATTTGCGTAGGTGAAGCTGTCGTCCGTTTGACGCGGCGCTCTGGGACGAGACTAGTGCCATTGAATTTGAATTTGAAGGTGAAGGTGAAAGTAGATTTGAAGATGAGAATGAGATCGACTTATGTTCTGATTTTCGCGGTCTGCTGCGGCTCAGCGTGGCACATCTTTCTCGTTACATTCGATTGAAGTCATGGCCTAGTGTAGCCATTACCAGCGTATTTGAGTCAAGCGTGAGTATTTTTGACTTTTTCTCATGCCGAAGGAAAGTGTATGGCATCTCGTTGCAAGATGATCGCGTACGCCATGATAGATTATGGCTTTATTCACTCTTGACTTCATCGTCGGCACGTTTTGGTGACTCACAGGGAGCTGTGACATCAGATTGCAATTTTCGGCTGACGAAAGCTCATCGACCTGCACGGGATTCTACCGCTATGATGGGTGTGCCCGAAAAGACGACCTTGTGCTCTTCCTTGCAGAGAAAAGAGGAGAGGTGAGGGGATTTCCCGAGGTCGGCTAGATGTTAGCGCAGCCGCTAATCCGTGAAGGGCCTAGCTCCAGACACCCTTGTAATCCCACCGCATCCCCGCCATAGCTCCGCGAACCCTCAGAATCTGATCTCTTCAGCCTCATCATTGTCCATCGTCGACATAGCCCGCCCACCAAACTTCTATTATGTCGTCAGCGCCACCCAGAACCATAATTGATCTTCCGATTGAACTCATCGAGCTGATCGGAATGAATCTCATTGCGTATGCTCCATACAACGATTCGGTCGCACCAGTCATACCGCGAATACTAGTGGGGAGTTGCCAGGCAGTGTACAACACCCGTCTAGCATATCGGAGTCTCAACAGCGCTTTAAAAAAAGCTTTCGTAGAGGTCCTACATGATGTACCCTTCCAATGCACTGAGGAGCATCTGGGCCGTTTAACGCGGTTGTTGCAGCTTCCCTGGGTGTCGCAGTCGTTCAAACAGCTCACTATCGGCGGTGCCAAGATAGCCAAAACACCCATACAACGATCCCGGGCGGTCTGGATACAGGACCATCTGGCGGACGCTTTCAAGACAATTCTGAGCATTGCGCCTCGTTTGGAAAGCATTAGATGTGTCCCAATCTTTGAGTCTTTTAAGCCAAATGATCCCCGTGACGCTTATGACGAAGACGTCGCCAACGAAACTATTCCCGAACGAAGGCAGGGTCCCTTTCGTTCTGTAGACATCTTTGGAGTACGTTAAAGCACCCATCTTTTCCACAGAAAGTCCCAGTATAGAGGCTAATACGTGAACGTAGAAACTTTACACATCGATACACGAAAGCGGACACGCGAAAACTCTGATGTCGCTTTTGTTAGGATCCGACTCCATGGGAACATTCAGACTTGGAGCGCCCGGTGAGACATTGTACCGCGGTCAGATAAGACTCTCCCCGTTCTTTGCAAAGCCATTACCTCATCTCCAACACCTCGTCCTCGACTTGGGATGTCTACGATACGGCACTGGCATTTCCAGTTCGATCCAGATGCCAGTCCTCGAGTCTTTGACGATCGTATACACAACGTTCCTCGACAACAGCGAACGGAATGTCGGACCGTGGCCGGAAGAAAACTTGGACCTTTTGGCAAAGACTCAACCCCGACGGCTCGTGCTCACTAGCTATAGGTACGTCACTTCGTGGCTACACGAGCCTCGAGAGAAAATTCTTGCTATTGTCCGTGCATTCAGCCACAGGCAAGGGCCACTACCGTGCTTGGAATTGCGAGACATGGATGTCGAATTGGATTACCATCGGGACGAACGGCCGATGCCAGCAGATACTTGGAAGTTCTCGGAGGACTTTCGCATCGCAGAGTTCAAGATTGCAAACGTGACGTGGTACCGACATGTAATCCATCGTGACAGTTCAGAGCGCCGTGGCTGGTGCAAGACGGGTTGGGAACTGTTTCCTCAAATTTGTGACGCGTCAGATGTCGTACGTGTACGCGTGTGTGACGAGTCGGAGCTCATTGAAGAAAGCTTTCTCGAAAGACCATATGAAGATTTGCATATTGATGGCAATAGCACGGATCATGATACCGAGACAGATCGCAGCACCACCGAAGACGGATTCGATGATTCAGACCGGTCCACAGACGAAGATGAAGACGATGACGAGGACGAAGATGACGACGAAGACGATGACGAAGATGAAGACGAAGATGACGACCATGACAATGACGCAATGGACGAGGCATAGGCTATGATGGTTATGCATAGCCACTGCTTTCGATTTGATACAAGGGGTCCATGTGCATAGTGTTGGCGCAGCTTTACGTTCGGTGACAGCTTCAACCTCCGCCAGGCTTCTTCAGCGCTCCACCAAGAATACTCGGGTCAAGCATCTTGGCTTCAGGGACGTCGACACCACAACGCACCCACATGCTGCTCCAAAGCGCACCGACTGCTCTTTCTTCGGGCATGAAAACGACTGTATTCACGTACGATCGTGTCGTGTTATAGCAGTCTGGCATGTTGAATAGTTGCGCCTCGCAGTTGTCGCCTTTGTTCGAATAGAACACGCCGCATCGCGCTTCGCTTGGGAGAGTGATGCATGTGCCGTTCTTCCATGTTTCGAGGGGCGGTGGGAAATACGTCTTCTGCAAGAGCTCGCCGCGGCAGTGTTTAGGGCCGCCCGCGCCGGAGTATGTAAGGGCGAGGATCGGTATCTGTGGAGTGGTCGGCGGCCGATGCTTAGGCGCGACGGACGGTTTTGGCGTAGCAATAGGCCCCAAGACACCTTCAGCACTCCAACTCGCGCTCGTTTGTGGTTCCGGTGTGAAGCCAATCATCCCGTCCTGGGTTTCGGTCATCGTGGTGGGTACGAGCGTCGCACCGGACACGATGCTGCTGCCGTTGTACACATCGCCGCGGTCGAAGTCTGTGCCGTTCAACAGCGCCTTCGCCGCGACGATATCATCGCCATCCCCCACTCTTGCAGCCTGCGCGAGGTTGATTTGTATGACTGGTGTGGTAGGTGCGCGTACTTCGATGGCGGTCGCTAGCGAGATTGCGATGAAGAGGAGAAGGGAGACGGACGATGCGATGAGGATGATGCGCCGCGGTATGGACGACATCGCGAGGGTATTACATTACTTTTGGAGATTTGGGAGGTTGAAGGGGTATGCGACAATGTCGAAGTTCGTGGGCGACGCCAAGGAAGCGTCGGGGGTTGCTACACTACGCGTTTCATCCCCACGTCTTCTCCAGACATCTTCGCAGGCATGCAGGCAACCTTACCATGCTTCCCTGACAGCTATATACAGATTCTTTACGACTACTATACTCGGATGTCTGATATTGCGCGAGTTTGCAATCTCGATATAGCAGCGGCTTAGACCGATATTTGTAGGTTGAGTCACAAATCCATCCCCTGGCCCTTATACAGCTCGGTACCGACCTTTATGGGCTACTGCTTGGATCATACATTGATTGAATATGGGCTTTCCATTGCCATGTAGCGAAAGCTGCACTGACGATTCGACCTTGGCGCTCCAATGAAAAGGGCAACGGCCGTCTCCCACTCCACGAAAGAGCGAGAAATTCACTGGAATGACAGCCATTGGTCTGAGCTCACGGCAATTCTTCTAGATTTTGATGTGTATACACAGACACTGAGCACTGATCTCCTGATCACTCGCTGTTGCCTACCTAGGTATGCACTGGTCCGTCCCTTGGGCGATTTATATCTCGATTATCTCCTGTCGACCATACTTAGCCACCCTCAACCCAGAGAATTGTCTACCTTAGACCATTACCCTCAACATCGAAGATTAACCTACGCCAAACTCATCTACCTCTTGATAAAAGTAGGCGCGGCCGAGACCCCGTCCTCGATTCCGGACATGGCTGCCGAGCTCGTGGACTCAAACCGACGAGCGTTGGCGTTAGCCCTCAAGAAAACCGAAGCCAACAATTCGAACACGTCTGCCGCTCGACTTGAGATGATGAAGGCCGAGTCTAGATTCCAATCGCTGAAGCGTCGTCAAAGGGCACTGCGTTATGAAGAATATACTGCTGCTAAACGATACGGCCAGTCTTGGTGTCAAAGCCTCTCTCAAGGTCTCTTTGATAAGCTTCCTCGCGAGTTGCGAGACATGATCTATGACCACCTTCTCCCTCATTCAGCAGAAGTGTCACTCCTGGGTCAGGATTGGCGCGTTTCCTCCGGCCCTAGATGGACGTTCAGCTCGTGGAACGACAGTGAACTCGATCCCATCCCTCATTATCTAAGGAGTGAGTTTATGGGCACGGCGTTTCAGAAAGAGATCTTGGAAGAACTCCACAGACGCGCTAAACATAGTATTTACCGCCCCAACAATGTGGAAGAGTTTCTGGAAAATGGCCTGCCGCTAGCATCACTTCCGGTCCGGGCTTTCGACTTCGTTCGCTCACTCACGGTAGTACTATCCTTCCAACCTTATCAGGACGTCAACAGACTTAGTTGGCGCAGAACGGGACAATTTGCTCTTAGGCAACACCTTGAAGGAGATCCTCAACACTTGGAATCTGTCGCTACCGAGGGTGACTTCAACAAACAGGTCAAAGCGCTTGCTTTTATCGCCAAGATCAAGCAATTGAACAAGCTCGAACTGCATATCTTGATTTGCACTTGGACCTTTAGAGGAGCGAGAGGCTTTGAGCGAGCTCTGGTTCCCTTTGTGCACGATCTGCAAGACCACGGAGTGAAGGTTGGCGGGGAAGTTCAACCACATCGACCTGATACCGGTCGCAATGAGAGGTACGCTGGCTGGAAATGTGACTTTGCCCATCCAGCGTCGCGCTAGAAAAGCCACCGACCCAAAACTGGTGCCTTAGTAAGTAACTAGCCTCACAGATGTCTTGCATATGCTTACCATCAGATAGACCCGATTCTTATACGTTGAAACTGTCGATGGAGTTGAAGCTTGATGTTCTCATGAGATCTCGTGTTCTCTAGAGTTTCCATTCCTATCGCTCCGGCTTGTCAACACAACAATGTAGTCTCCACGCAGAAACGTATTGTAGTATGGCTCAGGAGTATGTTCATGATATGCTGCCGTATGGGGTAAACGCGCTCGAAGATGTATGCGGTCGTACGAGAGATGTTCTCACACACATGAATGGCGATATAGGGCACCTTTGACCTCTCAAACGAGAAGCATCTTCACTGCTATGGCATTTGCTTTGACGCCTGATTCCGTTACGAATTGCAACGTATTGTTCGACGCCCATTTGCGAAATTGTTGTGAACCAGAAACGTCAAGTTCGAAAACGGACTAATCTCACACAACTTTGGAAGGATGTAGAAGATTTGCGCGAGCCCACCACCATGTGGTATGCGGTTATGCTACATTCCTCTAGTCTCTACGGCTCTTCTAGGTCGTGACACACTGCAGGCCGAAAATCATGCGCATGTAGCGTCTACCTCTCGTCTTCTAGATCCAATATGGCTGCTCAGTCAATAGGACGTTTCCAATGTTGTCAAGTCCGACGATGACCTATGAAGGCATCGGTAATGGCAGCTTCCATCTGGCTTTCCGATATCAACATGGTCCGATCGTAAATGATTGTTTCCCTATTGCGCGGCTGCGAGTAGTCGTTCCGGCCCCAATTCTCGTACGAAGCAACTACCTTGCAGTCCTTTTCGACAAGCTCTTGAATGTATGGTAGCAGCACAGCTTTGTACCTCTCGAGTGCGGTATGCGTCCGCACATTAACATTAAGCGTGACGCTCATTTTGGAAACTTGTGATGTGGCTGCGAGATCGCCAAGCCAACTCAGCTGGTTCTGGAAGCCTTCTTTCTTTAATGCAGACTCTCTTGTCGCGTGGCGAGCTTTCACATAATAGTCCCGGGTCGGCTGGAATTCATGTTTTGAGATGCATACGTCGACTGAAAGCGTTCGGAGGAAGTCGAGGGGTCGGCAGAGCGCATCTCTGAGAGGGCAAGTACCAAGTAGATATCGAACATCATCGACGTTCCAGACATTGTAGGAGGCGTGCCTATTGAACTCTTCCGCGAGTTCAACCACAAACCCCTTTCCCATATACTTCTCCCTGAAATAGTGCTCAGATTTGTTGTCAAGGCCGCGAGCCTGGCCGCGACGGTCACTGTGGTCAACGTGGAAGTAGTATTTGTTCCCTTCGTTATCGGGAAGGTCTTTCTCGCGTTGAATGATGCTGACATCTGGAGCGCCACCCATGAGGTGGAAGTAAACCATGTCTCGCACCTCGCGGGCAGAGAGACGTTCGAACATCTCGGCGGCGAACCGGCGGTTTAACATGCAAGTGTAGTCATCAGTTGACTTGCCGAAGTTGCTTGAAGGAAATGCGACGTTAGTGATTAGTCTGAGTTGTGCTGCAGTCTCACACTTACGTATTCAAGCTTCGCTTCTGGCGTTGAAGTTTGCTTCGCGTGCTTTGAAGCGCACTCAGCTTAGTCTCGAGCTCTTCGATCTCTCTGTCATTCGCACTATTCCTGCAATAGCTTCGTGAGCATCTGAAGAATGAGAATAAATGATCCACTTACATCTCTTGATTATCCCTTCGCTTCTGTATAATGCTGCGCAGTCGTAAGTCGTTGGAAAGCTTCTTGTGCGCACGTCTACGCTGACTTACAATGAGATTGCCTTAGCCTTGGTCTTGAGTGGATTTCGAGGGGCCATCTTGGCGGTCTCGCGTTATTCGTGGTATGGCGGTAGCGATTGGAGTGGAATAGGTAGTTCAGGCGCTTTGAGTTGAGCTATGTAGAATTGTCACGATAGACAATTGACAGGTGCTTGGTAGGTAACGTAACGTGATGGAGTCGCGAGCTAAGTAAACACGCATGTACCACTATCTAGGCAAACACGGGGCTTGACGTACGTGCACTCGTCGTGAATGATCAGTTCGGTGTAGTCACAATTCCTATCCCGAAAGTTACTAGGCTGGAGAAGGAAATGCTAGCCCATCAATCTTCGGATTGCGTCGAGAAGATAACAGCTCCAGATCTGTTCAAGCATCCCCACCCTCAGCCTTCTCCTTCGCCTTATCCAAATCCAACGGCACCCTAACAACAATCTTACCCCTCGCCCTCCCCGTCTTCAACTTCTCAAACGCCTTAGGCGCATCCTCCCACTCAAACATCTCATCAACGACAGCCTTGACCTTCCCCTCCTTCATCCACCCTCCAATCTGGCTCAGCGCATCCGACGACGGCTTCGCCATCAACAACTGATAGCTGTTCTTGCCGCCGCCCAAAAACCCGGGTAGCAGCATGTTAGACCCCACATTCTTGATGCTAGCAACGCTCATCGCTGAACCGATCTGCACGAACTTGCCGGTTGGAGTGAGGAAAGCGGATGCGGCTTTGTAGAGGTTGGGTGGCGTGCCGATGTTGTCGACGACGAGGGTGTAGGTCTGGCCTTTGGAGGAGAGTGTTTCGATAACATCGCTGGTTTTGTAGTCGATGACTTCGTCGGCGCCTAGGCTCTTGCACAGGTCGACGTTGGGTGTTGAGCAGGTGGTCGTCACGTGGCAACCCAGCGCTTTCGCGATTTGGATGCCGTACACACCGGTCCCGCCTGAGCCGCCGTTGATGAAGACTTTGTCGCCGCTCTTGACGTTTGGGGCGATGGCTTGGTATCTGGATATGGGGTTAGCATGGCTTTCAGCGTCTTGGGTAGCCTGCGGGGCCTTACTCGGTCAGCCCCACGATGCCGACGCCCGCTGCGTCTTCGACCTTCACGCCTTCTGGTAGCCTTGCCAGCATTTGTCTATCCACGGCTACGTATTGCGCCATGCTTCCTCCCGTCAGCGCACCGACCTTTGCGCCAAAGACAAATTCGCCAATCTGGTACTCGTCGACTTTCTTGCCTACTTTGGCGACTTTGCCGCAAAAGTCAGCACCTGGGGTGATGTCTGAGCCTACAAGCCGCAGAGGCATTGGGCCTTCAGTGACTTTGTGATCCACGGGGTTGATCGCCATGGCATGAACCTGGACAAGAATTTGCTCATCATGGAGCACTGGTTGTGGCGCGGCCTCATTGATCTGGAGGTTCTTCTCGATGCCGTCTTTGGTGCTGTTGTACTGCCAGGCCCTCATCGTGGACGCCATATTGCGGTTTGATTTAAACGGGCCTGTACGCGATAAAGTTCCAGTGGGTTTGATGCGGCCGATGCGCGCTGTCCTTGTTATCTTATAGCGTGGAAATAGGCATGCGTCATGACGATTTGCGTTGAGCGGGGCAAGCGCCACCACCGTCTGTCAACACGAGCTTTGTGAGTAGACACCCATCTATCAAAGCTCCATTCAGGCGACCGAAGAGATCGCGCAGATTGAGCCTGGGTAGGACACCTACATCGTGGAATCCATCCAGGTGGGTATGCCTCCTTGCCCAATGGGTTGGTTTACTTGCGCTCGGTCGATCAAGGGGCATGCCCACATTGTCACCTAGCCCGATCAGGCGCAATCTGCGCAGCGGCAGCAGGCTCATCATGAGTTCTGGAAAGAGATCAATATCAAGACATGAGATATGAGCGAGATCATTGTTTGTGTCACGATGGATTTTCCAATTGATCTGTCCTGCATATCTATGTGGAGCTGGAGGCCTAACAGCCACAGCTCAGGCCGCCATTTCGCCCTGCATGAAGCCTCTTACGCGTATGTAACGAACATCTGCTCGAAGCCAGTGACGTTCCACATTCCGGTAATGGTGTTGAGCGTCAAGTTGGTTGGAGTGGTTGGACCACGTTGAAGCGCACCGCTCTCGACATGCCCACCCGCAGCAACGACAGTACCATTTGTCCTCTCCAGATGGTTGGCACCAACCTTGACGGTGAAGTTCGCAAGGCTGATATCGAAGGGGTTGCGAGATGCGACGGATGGAGAGCCTAGAAATCGTCAGCATGTGAGACATGGTAAAGATCATCATGTATCGACTTACCGTAGTACTGCGCATTGAGCTCCTCGGGCGAGATGAACAGCTCGTAGTACCCTCTGTAGTAGCCTTCGGTCCACTGAAGCTCCCTGTTATCGCGCACGAGCGCTGCCGAACGGTCGCTCGAGTTCGCAATAGATCTACCGGCGCCATAACCGCTCGAAGAGACGGCCGTGCCAGCAAACTCAACGCCGATCGCACCTGCACCTGTAGCTTGGTCATACGGGGTTTCGTCAAGCCAAACAAGATCAGACACCCAGTTGGCATGAGAATCGCCCGCCAAGAATGCAGTGTTTGGGATCTCATTGCTGTAAAGGTGATGAAGGGTGCGGTTGCGGTTGGCGGTGTATCCGTCCCATTGATCCGCATTCAACTCGTTGCTGTACACTGCGCTGTTGTTCATTCGCGAGAAGATGATCTGGTTGCCAATGATCCTCCAGGTAGCACCTCGTTCATGCGACTCGGAAAGCTGGTTGTAGAACCAATGTTCCTGGCGGCTACCCATGAGCGAGCGGCCAGCATCGTCCTTGAGATCCTCGATGTAGTCGTCATTCCAGTTGAGCGTCGTGATGGATCGGTCGTAGTTGCGGGTATCGAGCATGATCAGGTCGAAGAGCTTACCCATCTTGAAATTGCGCCAGATGCGGAGGTTGTCATCCATATCGACCTGGCGAATGCTGCGGTCGTTATTAGCGACATCAGGAACGGTCAAAGCGAAATACGTACGGCATCCACTCAAAGTAGGCGCGGACAGCGTTCATCTTCCTAGAGTCAACGCTCACTCCTCCGAACTTCTTGAAGCTTTGTTCAGTGTTGTTCATGCCGCTAAAGCCATCGCGATAACCGTTGTTTGCAACCTCTGTCCATCCGTTAGTTGAGTAGACGGGTGTCATGCCAAGCAACATACCATGATCATCCCATGTTGGAATCCAAGCAAAGTTCTGGTGAGCAAGGCGAAGGTCTTCATCAGTGCGATACTGGCCAATCCTCGTTCGGTAGTCTTTGAGACGAATTAGTAGCTGTCAGATCCAATGATCAGCTGCTTACGAACCGTAAAGTGTGACGATCTCCCGCGACGGGTTCGTGGCGCGCGGGTCTTGGCCGAGCTTGCCCTTGGTGGACTCATAGATGTAATCACCAAGATGAACCTTCATCTCCAGATTAGCAGAGTCACAAATGCACGTAATCATCATACTTACGAAGAAGTCAACTTGATCTTTCCTGGCAGCATTGCCGTACGCGTTGAAGTAGCCATTCTGCCAGTTGGAACAAGAAAAGATAGCAAGACCAACTTTGGAAACATCGTCGTTTTCGTCAGGGCTGGTCTTGGTCCTGCCGAGTGGGCTCTTGTTGGAGCTACCACAAACGTTGAACTGGTAGTAGTACTGGGTGAATGGGGACAGGTTCTTTGCTTCAATCTTCTCAAAGTTAGCTTGTCACTCGACATACCTCTGGCTTAGATCTTACCTTGACGGTGAAGTCGATGTCGGAAGTGGTGTATGCTTGGCCTTGATCGACGATGCTGGAGAAGTTGCCGTCGGTACCAACGCGGTAGTCCACGCAAATAGGGTTTGGTGAGGCCTTGATGTACTTCTCCGTCTCGTGGTTGTAGAAGGCTACGTTACCCGTAACAGTCACGTTCGATCTGTCGTTCTCGAGAGATGGCGCAATGCGTGTCCAGAGAATGACAGAGTCGGGATAAGGATCTCCAGAGGCGACGCCGTGCGTGAAGCTTAGCTGAGCCGGATCCCACGGAGTCGCCCGCTTGATGAGGCTTCTCTTCGCGACCTTCGGCACATCGATGCCAAGGCCTTCGTGCCGGCGAGAAGGCGAGTGGTAGTTCAGGTTGCCATCGAAAGATGCACACACGAGCGAGGCTAGAGGCGCCGCGGCAAGAAGTATTGAAAGCATTGCGAGGATCGAAGAAGCTTCGGTGACTCTCTTCTTAGTTTTCAAAGTCCCGAGACTTCAGAAAGCTTAAGTACTTCCATCGCACTTCAACGTGCCGTCCTTCGCGTACAATTTCATCGCCTTCGTACTACTCCGGCCGCCAACTATTACCGCATCGTGCATTCAGTACAGTTCTGACAGCAGCTGTGGCCAATCGCATAGAGTGCATTGTAAGTGTGTAAAAGAGTGCCTGTTGATCGTCAACCGCGACATATGCACGATGCGCATGTGCCGGGAGGATGAGCTGAGATTGGCCGAGCGCGACTTCATCCCGCTGGACAGGCTAGCCCGTTGTGGGGATGTGCAGCGCGTCGAACGTCGTTGATCCTGGCATGACATACAGTGCGTGAAGAGTCAACGCGACGATGCGGGACTGTAATGTGCAGTCTTTGGAGTGACAGGAGAAGAGGGGTGGAGGGTTACTTGGCTTTCCAGCTCCCAGTCCGCGGAAAGAGATGACGCTAAGATTAGAAGGGTTTAGCGCCAACCGCGCCGCATGCTAGCCCTGGAGAACTCCATTGTCCATTCCTTCGACACCCACCCCGTCTAGCTTTCCGGAGGACTCCTGGAACTCTCTCTCCTTCCTGACCTACACTTGCTGTACGTACGAGTTGCAGTGCAGATTTTGCCTTTCTTTCGATGCCCAATTTTCCGCTTCTAAAGCGCTTGCTTGCTTCTCTATCTTGATTCAACCAATTATTGCATCGTTTACACCCCGCCGTAAACGTTCCCGTGTTGTCCACGTTGCATCGTCGGAACTGCCATTCGCGCAAGAGCTATCACGGTATCGCTGATGTCGTTGTACGTATGCCGACCACGAAATGTTTAAGCACGGAACATTACTGCTGCGTGGGAAGCCCCCCGGCTTGCGTAGACCCTTCACGCTATGCAATGCGGTACCGCTTCATAAAAGTACCAGTCCCTGTCTTCTTCCTGGAGTTCGTATGAAACACACCATCTTCTCCAGGGAGGTGTATCAGCCTTTGCCCTTTTCCAACCGGCGTGAGCTCTGGGACTATTACATTACGAAAGAAATGAAGACCAGAACGATCCACATCTCCGGACCCAATTTTGCCATTGAGCAGGATTACCGGCGATTGTTAGAGGATCATGGGTTGAACCCGGGAATGATTCTATCGACCTATCGCTGGAATGGGTTCATTAGGTCTTCTACGGTTTATGCAGTCATGCCTACTGTGGAGGATGTGGCCCGAGCTGTCGTAAAGGTCCAAGGTGCACTCCTATTTGACACCAAAGTCCGCGTTCGACCACCCTATCCTGATGAAGGATTATTCTCCAAAGTACCTCAGATCGAGTGGGGCTGGTATGCTACGAATGGGCCATGCATCGAAAATATACGGTTGCGTGCACCTTTACTGTCCCCACCGGTCGATATATTTAGGCCGATCAAGGAGGGTGCGTTCTGTCTCCGTTGTGAAAGCAAATAAACGTTGACTAATCTGGTTCAGCCCGCCAGGTACTTGTGAAAAGTTGTTAGGACGTAAAAGTCCGGGACTTGCGACTGGAAATTTATAACCTGTTCCACTCTTTCGATGTGAATGTCTTTGAGATAAACAGATTAAAATCTGGGCAATGGTTTATAGTTCTCCATTTCGTTAGTGCTGAGCAAGCAGAGATTGCTCGAACGACGTACAGCACGTATACGTTACCAAGCGGTAATCGAATCAAGTGTGAATCTACGGGGGTACCAAAGCGCTTCTTAAAGGATATGCCTTGGGGATCCAGTCGGAGTGAAGGGTGAGTTGCTCACCCGCACAGTTTTGGCCGCGATACTAATGGTGTCTTCACCAGGCGTGAGTCCCACTCCGAGCGAGGTCTAGTCACGGGTAAAAACCTCGAGCATGTAAGCCATCATCTTTTTACTGTCACTGCTCTTCAATAAAGCAAGGTCGACATTGCTAACCCAAACGATAGCTGCAAGAGGATGTGTTTCGCAAGTGGTTGTTGGGCAAGAACGATCGAGGTCTCTGGGTTCCTGGGTATGATTCATGACAGTACAGCTGATTTATTCGTGACTAATGGCTGCAACAGGCACAAGTACTAGACAAGAATATACATGATCTCCATAAAGATTATACATCCCACCTAATCAACCTTATAAACAAGCTTAACACCCGACACCTTGCCATCCTTCAAATCCTGCAACCCCTGCGGCACACCCTCCAACCCACTCCTCACCTCAATCGGATGCGTCTTCAGCTTGCCTTGGCCAAACCACTCCTCAGCCTGCTTCCAGAACCTAGCGCCAAACTCGTAGTCCTCTTGACTAGCCGGGACCTTCTCACTGTACGCTTCACCCAGAGCCGTGTAGGCGAAAGTGAACTTGGTCTTCACATCGCTCCTCGGGTAGTTGTTCACGGGCAGAAGAGTAGACATGTGACCACCCGTGGAGCTGATAGCCGCAGCGGTGATGTCGAATGAGTTTCCTTCGGCGATGCAGTCGAAAGCCAGTTTGAGCTTGTCGTTGGTAGCTTCGCGGATCTTAGCGCCTACATCGGCGTCTTTGTAGTTGAAGACTTGATCTGCGCCTAGTTTGCGGAGGAGATCGAAGTTGTGCGGTGAGGATGTTGCAATGACCTCACAGCCTGTGTGCTTTGCGTACTGAATGGCGAGGGTACCTGTTGCGGTGGAGCCGCCGTAGATGAGGACGGGGGTTGGTGATTGGACCTTTGCAGGTGGGAAGGGTAGACCGAGTTCTTGGTAGAGGCCTTGAGCTACGGTTGTGATGCCAACGCCTAGAGTGGCGGCATCTTCGAAGGACATGTTGGAAGGAATTTTGAGATTGATTCCGGTCTTGGCTTTGACATGTTCGGCGAAGGCGCCGTTGGAGTAGTCTGCTGGGTCGCCTGGGATGTGTTAATAACCAGCTTCATTGTTGTTCAGTGGTGTTCGTACCCCCGCGAACAAATCCAGCAATGCGGTCTCCAACCTTGTAGTGTGTTACATCCTTGCCAACTTCCTCAACTTCGCCAGCATAATCGCATCCAGCAATAGCACCCGGCGCCGCGGCCCTATCGATGTTCTTCCAATCCGTCGGGTTCAACGCTACAGCCTTGGTCTTGACCAGGAGCCAATTCTCAGCCGGAAGCTTAGGAATAGGAACGTCATTGCGCAGTTCAGATACGCCTTCAGAGACGTGTACAACTGCTCTTTGTGTAGACATGTTGCGTATGTGAAAAGAACTTGGGAGTCTGGTATGTAAGTTTCGGAATTTGGTGAGATGGGTAAAGATTGTTTTCATGGTTTATAAAACGACACTGATTGAGATCCATTTCTGCTATGATGCAAGATGTACTAGTGGATTTGTAATGGGAGGGGACTACCGCGTCATGCAGCCTTCTTTAGGACTACCCGTGGACGGGCGGAGCGGAGTATGTTCGGCGAATTCTGTGGAGCATGCTGAGTATACTGGAAGGCCAGTGAATGTCGATTGCTTGTAGTGTGTCGTGATATGGCATGCTATGGCCCGGTATGGCATGACATTTGACACAATATGTGTGTGGTGAGTGCCGTTGTAGCAGTCGCTGCAGGTGACAGGAGTGTGATGGTCCAAGCTCAGACTGCGCTAACTTTGGCGCAAGGGTCCAGCATCGCGACAGCTCCACGCGTAGCTTTCCTACTCTAACCCCAGCATATGCTATTGTCCTGAAGCTTGTCAAGTGCTTAGACTCCGATTGCGACCATGGACGAACCTCAGCGACCGCCAACGCCTGATGACGAAGACATCAAGCTCAACTTCTTCCCCGACCCCCCGCCTTTCTACAAGCACTTCACCACCGAAAACCTCGCGCGACTCAAAGAACTCGAGAAAGAAGCCCCGCCCGAAGATGACGAAACGAAATCATCGCCCGCGTATGCATCAACGAAGCTCACCGTAGAGCAAATCCTCGCCCTACCGACCGAACTTCGCTACCTGATCCCACCCGAACCACCCGCCGACGATGCCGAATTCCACGTCTTCGGCACAAAAGAAAAGGCAAAAGGCAAGGATGTCTTCCAGCAAAACATGGACTTCATAGCCGAGCAGCTGAAATGGCAAGACGTCTTCCCAGACTGGACGTACGAACAACTCTACCCTTCCTCCTCCACCGAGCTCACGACCGACGACCCCTCCGCGCAACAGCCTACGGCGAACAACTCCGCGTCTCTCGACCGGCAAAACTACCTCTTCCGATTCCTACGCAGCATACTCATGAGTTACATATCGCTACTCGGCATCGTGGCCGCGAACCCGACGTCAGAGCAAAAAGACCAGAAGCTCAAGGATATCATGACGCTGGTCGCGAATATGCATGCGCTTATCAATGAATACCGGCCGCATCAGGCGAGGCAGACTCTCATTGCGAAGATGGAGGAGCAGGTGCGCAAGAAGAGGGAGGAGGTCGAGGGTGTGAGGAGGATGGGGGAGAAGGTCAAGGAGGTGCTTGCTGGATTCGGTGGGGTTGACGGGGAGGATAAGGCGGGTGAGGGTGGTGAAGAGACTATAGAGGATGGCATGAGGGCGAGGGAGGAGGACAGAAGACGCGTGCAAAGGGGCATGTGGGAGGCTATTGGTGAGGTAGTGGGATAAAACGCGCGATGTCAGTCAATTATCACGACGAATGGCACGTTCATACAAGGCGGCGGAAGCTGGGCTTATAGTGGATGCGCGGTCGACACATAAGCTCCATTCGTACCTCTGAAGCCGGCACATAACGCGTCTCCCACATCAGCGCAAAGAAACGTCAGGATGTCTTTCATGAACATTGCAGACGTTTGACTCCAGACCCACTGCGCCTGGTATACATCGCAAGCAAGCAACCGCACTGCCTGGTTTCTGGGATGGTGCTAGGCCTCCATGGATGGCTCCAAGACATACCAACTTCATCTATTTACACGAGGGACTTGTCTTCCTTGGCTGCTTAAAACCAATAGCAGGTTCTATATCTGAAGCTATTTAC